ATGTCAATTATAACCTTGCGAAATAGTTTCTCCAACAGAATAATATTCAGTGACACTTGACAGCAAAATCGTGAAACACGTCATAAAGGCAACACTTGGAATGATAATGGAAAGCTTTTTACAACATTATTTTACAACACACAATGCGATTTCATGTCCCAATTTGACACTCTGCCACCTATTTACAAAATGTTACGCTTACTTCAAGCTTCAAAATAAGCTGCTTCATTTCAACGACAGCGTAAGTGGACAGTCCAAGGTATTTTGTCCTAGACGTTACCAGCAACATCAAAGAATTTAGTACATCCAAAGTTGGAGTGCCAGAAGTGTCATGGCGTGACATACATGCGAGCTATATATTAGAAACCAACATTATTTTCCCCTTGGGTCAGAGTCAGACAACATATGAAGGAAACTTAATACTTTTGATGCTAGTTACGTACCGGTAGATTATTCCCCGACACTTGGCAGCATATGTGACGCAGCATATCCTACTACCTTGGACTTGTCCATTCTCTAGACTACAATCACATACATCATTCTCAGAATAAATTATGTTGACATTTTACAAGCCAACCATATTACATTCATATTACATTCATACAACCTTTGCTTTTCTTACATGTACTACACGTTTCTGGTAAGATGATCATTGACCTAGTGTAATTTACATGAAAATGAAAAACATGAATTTGAGATTACCATAACTTCATTAAGTTTTGCTTTCTCTTGAAAGCGTGCTGTGCAAAAGAGGATGGGAGGGGGGGGGGGGGGGTGAGATGGCATGATGTGCTTTTTTTTGTTAGAACACTTTTCATACCATGCATATTTTTGTGTAGCTCTTTCCTCTATTGTTCTGGAAAGTACCACAATCACACACTGAAAACCAGACAAAACAAACATGCATCCCTTCAAATATAAACCTTGATTTGCAATTGGTGTATACATGTGTGTGTGTGTGTGGGGGGGGGGGGGGATGCTTCTCACATTATCACACCTGTTTTCAATATTTTCAGTGCATGCATATCCAGCTCTATATTTCTTTCCAGCCAGCCCCCCCCCCCCCCCCCCCCCCCCCCCTCCATCCAATGATACGTAATACCAGAAATGGAGGAGACGGATCATTAATTGAAAAATAGTACATTGCTGTTACTTATATACAAATATTTACATTGAGAATACAAATATAGCAACATTAAAGAATGCACAAATTTGAATATTTGCTCCCCCGTAACAGATGAGCGATTTCTGAACATATATACTTCAATTCATCATTATTCTTGTCATAAAAATTATCTTAAAAAAAAAAGAAATCTTAACTCCATGCAGAACTTCAACAACTTAACATGGCTATCAATTTCACATATTTGTTGTTGTTGGTTTTTTGTTGTTGTTTACATAGATCAAATTCATTATGATGTGCCTGCAATAAGTATATGATACATACAGCAAGCAGGTAATACTATGCTACAAACAATACATGTATTAATTTTAAAAAATTATGTATAAAAACCAACACACTTTTCCTTTTAATTACAGAAATACTCATGCTCAGGACATCCCTGAGACATATTAATACATGGGACTAAACTGTTCCCTTTATATTCTCCCAAATTCAGATACATCCATAGCTACTAGAATACATGTAGTTGCATCAAAGGAAGTCGTACTCGTTGATAGGTCTTAACCAAATCCTAGCTAATATTCTCATGAAAAAATATTGCCAGATCTCACTTTATCATTTTTCAATCTTTACACAACAAATTTTCAACATAACAACTTAGCGAGGTAATTTCCATCTACCTACTTTGTAGCAACTCTATATGCTTTAAGGGGAAGAAATGCAGTTTTAAAAACATGTAAACATGGTGCCCAAAATATCTATTTCTTAAATTTTCACCCAGCTACTGGATACGTTGGTCCCATGTATAGACCAGCGAGTTGAACTAACCTAGTATACCGGCAGTGACATTGGTAAATACATGATACTGCATCTGTTACATCAAGAGAGTTTAATTCTGGGCCCCATTTCATAATACTTCTCATCAATAACAAATTTGCTCTCGGCCAATCAAATGCAATGATTTCAGTAGCTTATAACAGTTATTGTAACTTGTTATTGATAACAAGTTTTACGATACAACCCTGATCTGCCTATTACATTTCATAGAAGTAATAACAAAAATTTGCTTGTTATAATAGATCAGTTGACTAACGTATTCAATTTTAAAGATGTTTCTTTCATGGGGACCTAGTGACAAGGTAATCTAATAACCTTGCTATTAATGAGCTAACTACAATACATGTACTGGTACTTTGAATCCTCTGCATACATTACTAGGTGCGATGTCAGGCAAGCCTTGTGCATGCTTTAGGGCTTTCAAGATCAACCTTTCTTTAAACAGAATGCATATAATTTGTATATGTTAATAAGACAGTCTATTGTGGGTGCAACAACAGAAGGAATATTACTTGACAATAAAGGCATCATTGTACTAGTTCTTGAGGCAGCTCCATATTCTATTAGGTCAATACAATAAGGAACCGTGACATCTTCTGCTACATTATGCTCATAAATATAATAAATGGGATAATGTTCAATTTACTAAGGAAATCGGGGAATAAATAATGAAATTACTTAGTACAGTGTATTCAACATTTTCTACACACAATGACAAAATGGAGCCAATTTATCTCATAGATTTTTAAAAGGTATACTACATGTACCTCCATCAATGTTCATTTTCAAAAGCAAGGAAAGAATGAGTCCTTGAAAGAAAAAATAAAATGAATATATGTTGAATTAAAAACGTATATGCAAATCTGAATTCAATCTAAGATTTTTCTGTGTATTTCTTCAGCTAAATATTGTTTCTGCAATCCATCTATGGCAGCTGTCAAATGACCAGATCAGATGTACATTCTGTAAATCAACACAAATTGTAGTTCAGATATTGATTCTTCTAAATACAGTCAACCATTCCTTAGTGGCTACTTCTATATAAAAGCCATCCAACACTGCCTCATTCTAGAAGAAAACAAGTGTTGAAGAACCTTTCTAGAAAGGCCAACTGTCTGTGGTGGCAACTCTTTGTGTTTCCCTTGGGTGGCCTTAAAGTGACTCAGTAACATTGTTGAATGTTGATGACAAAACTGTGTAATTTTTAATGAAATGTTACTTATTATATTCCTTCTACTGTATTATATAACCCTCTAGCATGCAAAAAATCCTGAAAAATTTCTCAAACCACAAAGATATATATGGTTTTCTTTGAAGGCGTCACTGGTCAACACCCTCTAATAGTAAATTCTCCAAACCAGTTTTGAATTTTCCCAACCATTTTCCATGTAAATAAAATGTAAGACAGGCTTTAAAAATCTTTGAAGTTTCAACACCAAAATGTTGGAATGGTATAGAGCCAATTCATAGATTTGTGACGATTTACATTCACCTAAAATGTAATTAAATTGTAATAATATAGTCAGAAGAATTAAGGAATCGATCAAATCAGTCTTCCTCAATTTATAACATTAATAATGGTCTGTTTTCACTCAAACTTTCAGATTATCTTTAATTTTACATCTAGCATTGAAGTCACTACCTTAGCACCATTTTTTCTCATCTGAACAATGTTACCAAGTCCCTTTAATAGACAGGTTTGACTTTATAATTGGATACCGGTAGGTATCCATTTAAAGATCTATGTCCAAACGCCTACCGGTATTTTTCCCCTCAAAATATCAACATAAATTATGTATCACGCTGGAGCCTGCAGTTAAGCGCCTAGACTTGAATGCGCTCCTAAAATAACATTTTCTTTCAAACACAAATTAAGACTTTAAAGAATGACGTTAATTTGCAAAGCTAGTCAAACTACAAAACAAGCTTCCCAAGTCATACTCAAGAGCATGAGGAAATTTGTGGTTATATCTTAGCCTTTTCCATGAACAAGCTAACCTTGGATAGTTGACAAAAGGATTCACAAGACTAACTTCTCAATCTTGTGGATCTTGTGTCAATGGGCCTGGCCTTCTGCATCATACACCCAAGTCCCACTATCCAAACTGGTACTATACCAACAACAGGCTGAAAAAAAGTTGGTTAAGAGTCAGATTGGCTGCATGACTTGAGAATCAATGAGGTCCAGAAGTATTTGCATGCTGCATGAGTAGCATAAAATACCTGAGATTTTTTTTTCTTTTTCACTTTTTCATTCAATAAATGTTTTGGCAGCCACTAAAAGTGAGATTAAAGAAACTCTTCAGCATTGCATTTTCAAATTTTCAAGTTGAAGTTTCTACTGCTTATCTGGACTTTACTAACTCGGTCTTCCCCCTATGTTCTGTTCAAAAGCAGTAGTCACCTTTGTGTTTTTGGCATAGTTGAAGTCTATACACACTAACTCTTTGAACTGCTTTGCAATCTTTGCATTAATTCAGACTAGATTTGGCCGATGGTACTGATATGAACTACTTGAGTTTTGATTTTGATAGTAATCATGAGAATCTGTTATTAGAAGCGACCTATTACCTTTCAATAACTAGTATCATACTTTAGCCACACAGCCAAACCGACCCTATATCCAGTGGCGTACGCAGGATTTTTCAAGGGGGGAGGGGTTTAACATTTTGAAATTGGGCCGAAAATTTCGCAACGACTCAGCCAGCCGCCGAAAAGGGGGGGTTAAGAGGACACTTTTTTTTTTTTGGTTTAAAAAAAAATCGCAACGACTCAACCAGACGCTGAATAAGCGGGAGGGGGGGGGGGGGGGGGGGGGGGGGGGGGGGGGGGGGGGTACTATTTTTTTTCTTTGTCTCGATTTTGGAAATTTGACATTTTTCCTTGTTTGGGGGGGGGGGGGGGGGGGTAAGGTCACCTTTTTTAGGAACCATTGGCATAAATGCCAAAGGGGGGGGGGTTTCCTCCAAATACACACATTAAAAATACCAAAGGAGGGGTTGCCCCCCCCCCCCACCCCCCCCCCCCCCCCCCCCCCCCCCCCCCCCCCCCCCCCCTGCGTACGCGTCTACCTATACCCACCCAAACTTTCATCAGTCTGTTGTTGGTCTAGAAATCGTCATGTTAATCTCAGAATCTTGAAGCGCAGCTAGAGCATTGATGACATCTGGAAGAGCCGAGTTGATATCAATTAGCTGGCTCTGATCCTCAGGGAGAACTACCTCAACTGTCATGTCCTGAGAAATCTGCTGTTGTTGCTGATCTGTATGTATCTCAACTGTCATGTCCTGCGAGATCTGCTGCTGTTGCTGCTCAGTATGTACCTCAACTGTCATGTCCTGCGAGATCTGCTGCTGTTGCTGCTCAGTATGTACCTCAACTATGGCTGACTCCATGTCCTGAGACTGGTTCATCTGCTCTTGGTCCATCTCCTGGGTCACGTCAGATGGTGCTGGTGTCTCTGGATTAGCGGGTGTCTCAGTCTGGGTCGGTAGAGACGGCACCACCTGGATAACCTGGTGCTTGTCCTTCTTCATCATGGAGGGGTTTTGGGCATCGAGTGGACAGCACTTAGAGATGTTCATCTTCTCCTTGGGATGCTTCTTCTTGTAGTGCCGCTTCACGACCTGTAGGTCGGTCGCCTTGTAGTCTGGGCAGATGGCGCAACGGAACCGACGACGCTCTCCGGTGGTGTGATGGAGGACGACGTGCCTGCGTAGATGGACTGGCTGAGCTGCAGCGTAATCACACTGTTCGCATTTGAACGGCTTCAACTTGAGATGGGCACTTCGGACATGAAGCTTCAGACTCTGCATGGTCTTGTACATCTTCCCACAGACGTGACAGGTTGCTTGCTTCTCAGTGGAGTGCCTCCTCATGTGGGATAGGATGTTCCCACGCTTGTCAGAGCCATAGTCACAGAGATCACAGGTGAAGCGCTTCACGGAGGAGTGCTTCCACATGTGACGGCGAAGATCACAGATGCGGCGGAAGGTTTCATTACAGACCTCACATACCAAAAAGGGGGCTCCCTTCTCTCTATGGATGACAACTCCTTGTCCCATTATTTTTGTACTCTCAGCTAATGGCATCATAGGATGTGTGTTCATGATATGATTCTTCATATCCTCCCCTTTTTCTTCAACAGTGTTACACCATGTGCATGTGTAAGGTCCCTTGTTTTCTTTAGCATGTCTCCTCATGTGATGCCTGTACATGTCTCCACCTATAATGCTAGTATCGCACGTAGGACAGTGGAACGATTCACCTTCATTGTGGATCTTGGCCAAATGCCTCTCAATAGCCTTCTTATTGGCTCCTTGAAAGTCACACTTGGTGCATTTGAATTCCTTCATCTTTGTATGCTTCTTAGTATGATCTTTACACAGTCCGACCTTTGGAAAGAGCTTCCCACACACTCCACATTCAACATTGCCAAAGCGCAAATGGATATATCGCAATATGGAGGGTGTCAGTCTCTTGTATTTCAAACCCATAAAGGCCTCTCCAACCTCCTCCAATTCTTCTTGGCTTACATTCTCTGTTGGAATACTGATCTTGGACATGAGTTCATCGAAAATGGAGCCTGTCATAGCACTCTTTGGAGCTGCTGCTCCTGTTCTGCGTTGCGCCCATTGTACCTTATCTGCTTCCAGGCCTTATCCATCTGACCAGCCAAGTAGATACTCCTTCGCAGACTCTCGTTGATTTTCTCTTGAGGGTTGAACTCTCCTTCCTCTTCGCCTCTGTGAGATCCAACATGCTCATTGAGCGCACCGTATGTCAAGAACTTATCTTCACACATGCAGCAACGGTAGATAAAAGGATGTGAATTTAAGTGATGTTTCAGTTTCTTTTCACCATCGCATATGAATCCACACATAACACACTTTAGGATAGTAGCGGGTTCTTGACATACTTCCCTCGCTTCCTTTTCCTCCCATCACCAACCTTGTGTTCTTCACCTTTCTTTTGGCTGGAATTCAGGGCATGGTTTGTCCTTATGTGAGTGTAGTAGCTGCCCTTCGTCTTGCACTTCTGCCCACAAATGTCACATTCAAAGAGGACAATCTGGCTTCTTGCTCGACCTGCTGTGGCCATCTTGGTGTAGAAATCTTTCCCAATTCCTTCTTTGATTTCCTCATGATGACTGATGTACAGATGGCCAAGGATGGTGCTTTGACCTTTGAACTTGACATCACAGAGGATGCAACGTAGAGCTGGAACATGGGCCTTCCTGTGCTCATCCAGATCCTCCTTGACCTTTCCAACATAGGCACACTGACCATGCCAGCACTTCAGTTCATTATCAGCATGTTTCTGCTTGTGAACTTTCCAGGCTCCATAGTTGGTTGCACTGTATCCACACCGCTCACAGACGTATGGGCGGTATCCAATGTGGCAGAATATATGAGGTGTCATAACATTCTTGGTCTTGAATACCTTACGGCATATAAGGCACAGGTAGAACTCAAGAGCTTCTCCATTATGACTCTGCAGCCCACCATGTACTACTTTGATGTATTTGTTTATCTCATCAGGTGTTGGAGGTTCCCTGTCAGCCCATTGTTTTATCATATCATCCTCTAGTTCGACAGACAGTATCTTGTACTTGCTAAATACTGAATTGGGGTCGGCTTTGTCATCTAGTAAAGGTTTCCGAATGAATGGTTCTATTACATTCTCATCATCCTCTATATAATCATCTTCACCAAACTCATAATCGTCGTCATCATCTCCCAGGACAGGGTCAGGACTACTGACCTGATTATCCACCTTTTCAGTTTTCTTATCATCCACCTTTTGAACTTTCTTATCATCCAACTTTTCAGCTTCACTCTTCTCCTTCTTATCATCAGCCTTCTGTTTCACCTCATCTTCAGACACTTTCTGAGCCTCCCACTTCCATCCTGACACATCTTTTCTTTTGCAGAGTTTCCATGTGCCACGTCTGTCAACTACAGATATACTTTTACTGAGATGTACACCCAGCGTAGGAGGGACACCATCATCTGCATCGTCATCTTCTATGGGAATGTTTACAGAGCTACCTGCCTTCGTAGGTGTGTCTCCTGTCTTCTGTGGCTTGGTGGTGGCATCTACCACAGGAGCTTTTGCCACAAGGTCCTCTCATCTCCAGCCCCATTTCTTTGTCTCATCACTACTGGTCACTTCTTCCTGAGCAATGATTAGCTTAGCTGGTGATGACTGCATCTCTGAATTCTTCTTATATCTTCTCCTCCTCGTCGAGGAGACTTTGGCTGTACGACTTCCCCTGCTCTACCGGGAGACTTTGGAGCTGTGCCTTCCTCTCCCCTGCGAGGAGATGACTTCCTCCTGATCGGCTCCAAACACCTGTGCATATTCATCTGCCGTTCACGATCAAAATGCCTATCGCACTTCTCACACTGATACATCGTCTTGTTCCGTTCTGCTGCCGGACTCGTCACCTTGGTCGCGGAAGGTGCCACTAGCACTTGCTGCTCCTCAGTGGATGCAGGCTTGGGTAACTTAACATTCGGAAGCGGCATCATCAGCATGATAGCGACTTTACCACTGTGCGCCGTCCGTGCATGATTGGACGACTGCTGGGGATCAAAGGTATACTTCTTGCACACCGAGCAGGCATAAATGAGCAGGTTCAACTTCATCAGTTCATCTGAAAAGAGAAAAGAGATCGGAATATAAGGTAATTAACAGCACAGAAGAAACTGCACAGTGATGCACATATCTGAGGGTCCAGTTACATAAATGAAGCTCCCCCCCCCCCCCCCTCTCGTAACCACATTTTACTCCTAAAAACTACACATAAATATGCTTCAAATCACATGAAGGATTTCAAATTAATTTAGTAATGGGGTAATCCAAAATTCTATTTCCCAAGGAAAATCAATTTGTTATAACATAATACCATACCATACAGATTTCAATTTTACTATATATCTGGCCTGCTGTATATACAACCTGCTTCATAATAAATCATCTGGAGAAATATAGAAAGTGATTTTTTGTATTGTAGTTAGTATTGTTCAGACGTTGATGGGAAAGTGGAATTTTCCTATTAAACTCTTCGACTTAAAAAAACCCAGAATCATAGCGAGTCACAGGCACAGGCTACAGTAACAATTATGTACAGGCTTTCCTCCCTATCCACTAAAGACAGCGTCTACATTATTGTCATTCAGCGGCCTAAATACAAATTTAAATTAAAAAAGGAGTTGTGTCTAGATAAAATTTATTTCATTTAACCAAGCCCATTCCAATGTATTTAAAAAAATGTGCAAACCTTTAGGATCTTTGCTGTAATTGTGTTCATCTTCCTTTTCAACTGCTGGCTCAGTAGTCTCACTTTCTTGCTCCTCTGATCCTCCCCTCTCAGCAGCTTGTGCAGGAGGTGCGTCACTAGAACTCTTCCCTTTAGGCTTTGGGAACTTAATGGCCATAGTTTTCTTTGTGGCAGGCACAGGCACCTTCAGTTTGTTTATTTCATCAATCAATGCTGGGCCAGGCCTCCTCGTGAACGGCAAGTCCATCTCTTTGTACACCTTGTCCTTTTTAGGAGCCGGCGTCTTCACCACAGGGTTCTTCAACCCTTTGGTTGGGGTGGTCTTGGCAGGAAGTTTCTTGATGGCAGACTTCCTTATAGCTGGTGACTCCACCACTGCCCTGGAGGATGCCCTTGTCTTTCCTGGGGCAGGGGTCTTTGGAGCAGGGGTCTTGACAGCAGCCTTCTTGGCCACGGGCTTGTCAGGTGACTCTGCTTCGGATCGTCCTCTCTTCCTGGTCTTCATCTTGGTGGCTCTAAATCTCTTTGACTGGTATGTCAAGCAGCCTGAAGTGTGGTTTCTTGAGGGATCTACAAGAAAAGAAATGAAAAAAAAATGTTAATAACAAAATAAATAATAAGACAGCAAGAAGAACCCTCTTCACACATTTTCTACTTATAATATTATACAGACACTATGGATCAGTGGCGTACGCAGGATTTTTTCAAGGGGGGGGTTTTAAAAACGGGTCCAAAATTTCGCAACGACTCAGGAAAATTTAAAAATCGCGCCGGCCAAAAAGTCGCTCAGTGGGGGGGGGGGGGGGGGGGGGGGGGGGGGGGGGGGTAAGCGGACACTTTTTTTTGGGGGGGGGGGGGGAGTCCAAAAAAAATCACAACGACTCAGCCAGCCGAAAAGTCACTCAGTGGGGGGGGGGGGGGGGGGGGGGGGTAAGAGGACACTTTTTTTTTTTTTTTTCTCTCGAAATTTGAAAATTTGACATTTTGCTCCGTCGGGGGGGGGGGGGTAAAGTCACCTTTCTTAGGTCAGCCATGGGGGTAATTTTTTTTTTTTTTTTTTAATAATTAAAAAAAAAAAAAAAAAAAAAAAAAAAAAAAAAAATCAGAGGGGGGGGGGGGGGGGGGGGGGGGGGGGTTTTAGGGATTTTTTAGGGGGGTTTACACATATAAAAATACCAAAGGGGGGGGTTTAACCCCCCAAACACCCCCTGCGTACGCGCCTGCTATGGATGAGGTCAGTGGCGCAATGAGCAAAAATGTTTGGGGGGGCTGACCAAAAAAAAAAATCTGCATCACCCCACTCTTACATGCAGGCCCCGCTAAACGTTTTTTAAAGTGGGGTCTAGGGGCAAAGCCCCCGAAGCTCAAGGAGTATGGGCATCAGTGGAGATCCAGGAATTTCTTACTGGGGGGGGGGGGGGCACAAAATGGCATGGGATGAAAAAAATATATGTAAAACGATGAAGCGACAGAGTGAGGGTTTTGCGGCGAGAGGGCGGAGAGACCAAGCGGGGTGGGTCTGGGAGGGGGTTCTGACCCCCTCCCAGAGTAGGAAGCATTTGCAATTTTAGAACCACATCAGACGCATTGTCAGGCACTTCAGGAGTAATATGACCTACCCCTCCAAATTCTCCTACCCCCTCCAAGAGTAGGGATCTTTAGCAATTTGAGAACCACATTTGGCCCATAAATTATTAGAGAGAGAAGACGATTCATTGTGTCCTTGGCTGAATTCAAGTTTTCCCCTTCGCGCGAGGAGCAGAAGCTTTCATGTTTCATTAAATTATCAGAGAAAGAAGACGATTCGTTGTACGCACTAATACCGCGCATGCGTACTTTATCTTCACCATGTTGAGTCGACGATACAACATGGAAGAATCGTCGGGGGTAGGACGAAGAATCATCCCCTTTTTCCCAATGAAGACTTCTTCAAATTATAATTTTAAGTTGCCAGATAGATGACAAGAGGAGATGAGCAACCTAGTAAGTCTAAATTGTAATTACTCCATTTGCATGTTTTGAGATCATGTCGCCCAACCCGCTGTTTGAATGTTTTTTTGATGCACCACCTGAAGCTCCGACGCCTTCGGCATCGGCGTCAGAGCTTCTTGGAGTTAATCGACCTCTGCTCGCTCTTGCAGCAGAGTCTGTTATAGTCTTGAATTGAAATTTGAATTGAATTAAAATTTTAAAAATAAGGCAAAGGCCAAAGCTTCATAAATCCTGACGTTAATGATATTGATGGTTGTCCGCCAAGCCTTCCTCTATACAGAGGTATGGGGATCGTTAACAAATGTCAGTTTTATCAAAGAACTCCCTAAACGAGACGAATATTTCTGTCTAACGACCGCCCGGCCGCGGCCTAGCCCCGGTGGGGTCACTCAATGCGACTGGGGACCGCATGACCGTTACCGAAATCGCGGGAAAAGGGGGTCAATTTCAAGCAATGTCCACGGACAAAATATTCCTCGAAATATAGAAAATAGGGGCGCACAGGTGTCCTCGAAATTGATAAATAGGGGTCAGGAAAGGGAAAAGAGAAAATCGGGAAGAAAAGAAAAAAGGTATGAAATCTTGTCCTTGAAATAGGTCTATGCATAAAATAGTCTAGATCTAGGGGTAAATTTGCGAAAGTGTCCTTTCTTATAAAAAAAGGGTAGATTCTATTCCTAAGTACGATTTTTCCTTGTTTTGACGTAAAAAAGCAAAAGGGGGTTAAAATTTACAAAGTGTCCTTGAAATGACCGCTAAAGGTGTCTTTTGCATTTGTGGTAACGGTCATACGTGTCACCATCTGTGGGGGAGTGACCCCACCGGGGTCTAGCCCGCCCCAAGCCCCAGTCCGATCCCCAGCTCAGCCTGCCAGCTGGCTGTGAATGTGATTGGCCGACATGTATTGTCAGCAGCATGCACAGAGAATGCCAATCTAACACAACACTAACCGTAACATCAAAAGCGAAACCTCCACACACGCAAAATTCATCCTCATAATTTATATTCAGCATTTAATAATGAGAAAATAAAGATACATGCATACATGCTTACCTAAATGGAAATCTGTTTTCTTTAAAGTCTTTCAAGATATTTTTTCCATTTCTGATCCTTACAGGAAAAACGATGGCGTTAATGCCGCCATATTCCAGTTTGTGCAGCTAAACTTCACACCGTAGAGGGCCCTCGACCACAGAGCGCCGACAACGGCTGCCGTAGCTATAAAGCTAGGGTAATAATTTCCAAAGCTCTTTGGAAGCGCATAGAGACTTTATATCATAAGGCGCTATACAAGAACAGACTAATTCTTTAAATATGGTAAAAAGATTGTCCCTACGTACCTACAAAACATAGCCTACCTCTATGGCTCGACGGTATTGATGAAACCGGCTTATACCATAAGGGTGGGTATAGCGTCGCGTCGCGGCGCGTTGACTTGAACTTGGCGACCATTCGTCCAAAGCCCCCCCCCCCCCGGTTTGACCGAAAGGGTGCGTTGGATTGTTAAGGCGCGTCAGGTCAGATAATGCGACCAAATGGCACATACGGGGGGGGGGGGAGGGCTTATTCCAAATGTACCCGTTCAGAGCATCGAAGTTTCAACTAAGAGCACTGAAGAGAGACTGGACACGTGCGACCGGGCTTCAAGCTTCCTGATCATTTCGTGGTGAGTTTATATGAGTATTCCTGCATATTATCCTGTTTTTGTGTGGTACGTGTTTAAGTATACTAGTAAAATGTCAGAATATAGAAGTTTATGGGTTTTTTTGCCAAGTGTTTAAACCGTAATGTTGTATTAAACTGAACTTGATGATCGGATCGCGCAGTTGATCGGATTGACTGAGATCAGTCCCATGTGCTTAATTTGGCGTAATCTTTCAGAACTAACTAGGTCTAAGGGGCTACTTAATGAGGCTCTATTAAAGACCGTCAATACTACTGGGCCAGAAGGGATTAGACCACACAGCGAGGTCACTGACAGGTGGCTATCTCATTAACTCAGCTCTCAACTAACATAAGAAAAAGAGGATCATGGGGAACCAACGGCAACAGGCACAAATTGGGGAAGTTTTCTATAGGCCTATAGTCTAGACATGCTAGAGGGAGCTCGGAGCAAGTAGCTACAATACAAGTGAAGTAGGACAGTGGGGCTTTAAATAGACTTCTAAATCACTAAAGAGAAAACATATGATTGCTTATTAAAAATAAAATAAAGGAAAGAAAGAAGAGGAAGAAGAAGAAAAGAGGGAGACGGGGGCAAAGGGCTCTTGCCTCCCCCCCCCCCCGCCAAAAAAATAAATAAGAGAGAGAGAGAGAGAAGGGAAAGGGAAAGAGAAGATTGAGGAAAGAAGAAAAGAGGGAGACGGGGGCGAAGGGCTCTTGCCTCCCCCCCCCCCCCCCCCCCCCTCCCAAAAAATAAATAATAGAGAGAGAGAAGGAAAGGGAAAGGGAAAGATAAGATAAAGGAAAGAGAAGAAAGGGAGACGGGGGCGAAGGGCTCTGCCTCCTCCCCCCCCCCGCCTAAAAATAAATAATAGAGAGAGAGAGAGAGAGAGAGAAGGGAAAGGGAAAGAGAAGATAAAGGAAAGAATAAAGAGGAAGAAGAAGAAAAGAGGAAGACGGGGGCAAAGGGCTCTTGCCTCCTCCCCCCCCCCCCCCCCCCCCCCGCCTAAAAATAAATAATAGAGAGAGAGAGAGAGAGAAGGGAAAGGGAAAGAGAAGATAAAGGAAAGAAAGAAGAGGAAGAAGAAGAAAAGAGGGAAACAGGGGGCGAAGGGCTCTTGCCTTTCACGCCCCCCCCCCCCCCGCCCAAAAATAAATAATAGAGAGAAAGAGAGAGAGAAGGGAAAGGAAAAGAGAAGATAAGGGAAAGAAGAAGAAAGGGAGACGGGGCGAAGGGCTTTCGCCTCCCCCCCCCCCGCCAAAAAATAAATAATAGAGAGAGAGAGAAGGGAAAGGGAAAGGGAAAGAGAAGATAAAGGAAAGAAAGAAGAGGAAGAAGAAGAAAAGAGGGAGAGGGGGGCAAAGGGCTCTTGCCTCCTCCCCCCCCCGCCTTAAAAATAAATAATAGAGATAGAGATAGGTATGCAAGAGCCCTTAGCCCTTTGCCCCCCCCCCCCGCACAAAAGAGAGACATAGAGAGAGAAGGAAAAGAAGAGAAAGGGAAAGAAAGAAGGGGGGAAAGGAGATCGGGGAGGGGGGGCGGTGAAAGGCCCTTTCCCCAGCAAACCTAAAACAGAGAGAAGGAAGGGAAAGGAAAATAGGAGAGAAAGGGAAAGGAAAATAGGAGAGAAAGGAAAAGAAAAAAGAAAGGTAGGGGAGATCAGCTACGATTAGAAAAAAGGGGGGAAAGGAGATCGGGGGGGGGCCGAAAGGGCCTTGCCTCCCAGCTGTTACCCCCCCCCCCCATAAAAAAAAACAGGAAGAAGAAAAGAAAAGAGTAAAAAGAAGGGGAGAACAGTTGCGATTAATCCCGCCAACAAATTGTGGATGGGGGGGGGGGCGGCGAAAGGCCCTTTCCCAGCAAACCTAAAACAGAGAGAAGGAAGGGAAAGGAAAATAGGAGAGAAAGGGAAAGAAAAAAGAAAGGTAGGGGAGATCAGCTACGATAAGAAAAAAGGGGGGAAAGGAGATCCGGGGGGCGAAAGGGCCTTGCCTCCCAGCTGTTACCCCCCCCCCCCCCCCCATCAAAAAATAAGAGAGAAGGAAGGAAAGGGAAAGGAAAAGAGGAGAGAAAGGGAAGGAAAAAATAGGGAGAAGAAAAGAAGGGGCACCCCACCCACCCCCCCCCCCCCACAAAAAAATGGGGGAAGGGAAAGGTAAAGAGGAGAGCTAAAAGGGAACAAAAAAGAGGAAAAGGAAAAGGAAAAGAAAAGGGTAAAAAGAAGGGAACAGTTGCGATTAATCCCGCCAACAAACCTAAAACATTGGCGTAGTAATGGGGGGGGGGGGTGACAGATGCCAAATATAATTCAAACGTGGTTTATTTCTTATTCGATACCCTTGATTTACAAGATTATTATTTTTTAAATACTTTTTCAATATTTTAACACATCCTTTCGGCCAAACCGGGGGGGGGGGGGGGGCTTTGGACAAATGGTAGCGTTCAAGTTAACGCGACGCGACGCAACACTCCCAACGCGTCCTTTCGGTCAAACCGGGGGGGGGGGGGGGGCTTTGGACGAATGGTCGCGTTCAAGTCAACGCGCCGCGACGCGACGCTACCCACCCTAATGGCATAAGCCGATGAAACCGGATGAAACCACTGATGCCTTAATTTCTCTTTCTTTCCTCTTAATTAATTTCTCTTCCTTCTAGTATTTTTTCTTTTCTTTTTTACTAGTTTTCCTCATTTCGTATAAAAATCAGTTTTTTAGTTTTCTGAATGTTACCCGACTGAGGGCAATGTAGTTTATCAACAAAGAGGAAGAGAATGATATAACTAAATAAACTCAAGCGCTCAGGACTAGCAGGCATAATTGTATGTTTTAAACAAAAGAAGGCGCTATATAACTCGACCACTTTGTGAAAGGAAGATATAACCATATTATACTGTATTTTGTTTAAATGAATACCTCTATTTATAAACTGCACCCGGTAAGGCACATTGTAATGTCTGCATCAAGAGGTGGCGCTAGACCATTTTCAACACACTGCGGGGGGGGGGGGGGGGGCGTGTAAGAGGACACAAAATTATAATTTTTTGGGGGCCGGGGGGGGGGGGGGCACGCCCCTGTTTTTCAGTTTATTTTGGGCGAATTTAGGGATGATTTTAACATATTTTGGGGGCCGGGGGGGGGGGGCACGTGCCCCCTGTGCCCCCTTGGATCCGCCACTGTAACCAATTGACTAATAAGAGAAGGGGGGGGGGGATCAGCATAATCTAATCTTTTAATTTTGATAAACCTCGCTCAAATCAACATAATTATCAGTGACGATAGATTACGCGTTGGGACATAACATTCACTTAATTAGCTTTTATCTTTTCCATACATTTTCTTTATCTACCGGGAATAACCAGCTCCAACAGGGTTTAAGTAGTACATTCTGGAGCTCTAGGTGTATATGTTTTACTTTCCTCTTCTTTTCAGTAAGGCTTTCAGGGTCGGATCTAGCTTTTTGCCAAGGGGAAGGGGGGGGGGGGGGTCGACCCCGTGGCAGATCCAGGATTTTCCGAAAATCGCGCCGTTTTAATATAATAATAATAATAATAATAATAATAATAACTTTTACTTATATATCGCTTTTCATAAGACATTTATATCAAAGCGCTTTACAATATTGATACAATTAAAACTAGACAGAGTAATGACAAGAGAACAAATATGAAGTGAAATTATGAAACATAAGATAACAAGGTAAGGTAACAATTTAAGAACTAGGTAACAATTTAAAAACTAGGTTGAATATGCATTTTCCATTAGGTAAGTTTTTAATTTTGATCTAAACAGAGAAATATCAGAGATGGAACGAATGGAGGCTGGAAGAGAATTCCACAAACGTGGAGCAGAGCATGAAAAGGACCTATCACCAAAGCATTTTGTTTTTGCTTTTTTAACGGTCAAGAGAGTTTGATTTGCAGAACGAAGGGGCCTATTGGGTGTATATAATTGAATCAGTTCAGAAAGATAATTTGGGGCATGACCATGTAGAGACTTGAAGGTTAAGAGAAGAACTTTGAACTGGACGCGAAATTGAATGGGGAGCCAATGCAATTGTTTAAGGGTTGGTGTAATATGGTCATGTTTTTGGTGAGAGACACTAGACGTGCTGCAGAGATTTGGATTCTCTGCAGCTTGGCCATATCTTTTTCCGGAATTCCATGGAGCAGGCTATTACAACTGTCAAGGAGTGAACTGATAAATGCGTGGACGAGGATTTCAGTGGATGACTTGGAGAGGAATTTACGAATTTTACCAATTTTTCTCAGGGCGAAGGATGCTTTACGACAGATACTATTGACATGGGGGCGCATTGAAAGGTTTTGATCAAACGTAACACCTATTTTAACAACTGTTTTGGAGGAATTTACAACACCATTTGTTATTTGAATCGGAGGGAGTTCTATTGTATTTCTTCTTCGGTGAGAAAACAGGTGTAGCACTTCCATCTTGTTGTCGTTTTACTTTTTATTCCTTTCCCCCCTTTTTTTTCTTCACTTGGCCGCCCGAGGGGGGGGGGGGGATAAACCGCCGAACCACACCCCTAGATCCGCCCCTGGCTTTTTCGTGACATATTTCAGTCAACTAAATACTGATATACCAACTACAATGTAAATCATGACACTATATTTTCAGAAGAATCGCAAAGCAATTGTTTATTGAAAATCGGATTTCTTTGAAAGTGGTTTCATAGCAGATCAGAAAATGCATAAACATATGAATATGTAATAAATATTTTATAAATATATGTATATATTTAAGAAAGTGCCTGAGTCAATGTTAGAAAGTGGAATAACCTGGTCTTTTCATGATTGTTAAGACAATACCACTGACGTAACATGTGAAGTTATACACATTAATTTATAATTTTGTTCTACCAGTAGGACTACGCCTATATTTTTTTCCTGGATATCAAATGATCGAGTAAATTGTATCAAGATCTTGTTCATGTTTATGGAATAATATTTTCTACTCCGAAATGACATGCCGTCTGAATCAGCATATTGAAGGTATAAAATGCCTAATTCTTCAACAAAAAGTTGCGAATCGGAGGGGTGTGTGTATGGGGTAGGGGGGTCAAGGGCACACTTGCCCCCGTGTGCCCCTGGAAAATTTGATTACCTAGATCCGCCACTGCCAATTTCCCGTTCTTGAGAAAATTGATAAGCTATGATGACTCGATATTTTTCTAAACATAAGAAATCAATTAATAGTTTTGTTACATTTTGCACCTTTAGAATATTTGTTATTCTCATTGTTCGTTCTCGGACATTCTTCATTCGAAAAGTACACTATTTCGAGGATTGTTAACAAGGAAAGTACAGAGAGAGAGAGAGAGAGGATAATAGACTTCTTAGCAACAACCATGCATCATTATGAACACTCCATAATACTTTGATGAACGACATTTGTTTTATTGCGGATCGGCACATAATTATTATTTGTAAGTTCAGAATTATAAATCTTTGAAATACAAAAAATGTACAATAATGTTAAGTATTGTAAGAGTTTACAATACACAATAATGAGGTCAACAGGACATAATGTCAAAATAGATAGGTCTATATAATGTGAACAACTGAATGAACTAGATTTCTATTCGGATACAACGTTTTAACCAGTTCTTCTTCACGAATGATTGAACATCCATGTAGCCGTCTCTACAGTCTACACCATCGTGGTTGCATTTAACATTTACATCTTCATGTCACACGATCGTAAAAACTTTCAAGAAATCAGCTCAATGTATCATATTTTTAAATAGCAACTGCGTTTTCATAATGTCATATAATCACTGTAAAGTGTGCATGTTTCAAAATGTGATGGACAAGGATATTGAAATTACGTAAGGTTAATTTTTTGTAAGTTTATGCTATAGGGCCATGATCAACATGATCAAATTGGTATGGTCTCCACAGCCTTCCTTCTTATGGTTGGGGCAACCCAGCCCATTGGCCCCAAACCATTCCCAACTGAGTTACAGTGACGTCATGTATGACGTAAGACGATCTCAAATGATTCAATGAGGTGTGGTCCGTCCTCAGTGCGCCCCCTTTGGCGTCATCAAAGAACCCTCCGCCCATGAAGCCCTTGATCATCGTCGGGATCACCCCTATTCGACGAAGACAAAAACCAACATAGACGTCCTCCCATGGGAATAGAGGCGTCTGCAGGGCAGCGATGTACGTCTTGTGCACCACATCCATCGATATAACGTACCCAATCCCGATACAATACGGAGGGTACTTATCATCTTTCGTCACCGAGTACGGCACGTAGAATTTGTCGTACACGTTCCGAATGATGTCGAAGTTGAAGGCGGCTTTGCCGGCGACGAAATTCCTTGAGGGCGCTGTTCGGAGGTACACCAACATCTTCATGGTATTCACAGCCATGTCGTCGTCTGTCTTCATAACGAACTTGGCGTTCTGGCAGTACCTACTGGCCCACTTTATTCCCATCACGGTCTTGATCGTGAGGTTGAGGTAGGAATCGATGAAATCCTCTTGCACGATGTCGCCGTAGTTGACGAGCTCACGCCTGAGGTCATCGGTGACTTGCCTGTTGGACACAGCACCAATCAGGAAGACTGTTTCGAGATGCATGGCGGTGCTCCGTGCTGCCATACCCCACGTCCGTCTTATCGCGTCGCGCCGATCAAAATTCTTCGGCGCCGAGGCAACAATCATCAGTAGAGATATACGCTTATAGGTCCCTTCATCTGTCATGCATTTTTCCTTTGGATTTAAGATGTACCTGTACTCGTGTAAATCTATATACGACTTCCAAACTGTTGAATTTAACATTCCAGGTGTTTTTATCATCTTAGCCCTCTTCAATTTTTCTCGATTCGGTCTCTCTGGTCGTACCATCTGTTCGTATCCACGCCCTAGTTCTCTGGATTCGTCTGTTTCTTTGAATTCCTTAGCAAAATCAAGCATAGGCCCCAGATATGTTTCATCGGTCGGTAAGACTTGTGGCTTTGTAACCAAGACCTTGGTTTGTCCTCGCTTGTTCTTGGCAACGACCGTGCCCTTTTTGGACGAGATGTTGTACTTCTTGTAGGCTTCTTCGTAGATGTTGATTCGTTGCGCCTTCGACATCGTGGGTAAAACTGAGATGACCTTTTCTTTTTTCTCCAGTTTCTCAGCAAGCTTGGCATAAAACTCCCTCGCGATCTCGTCTATCTCTCCTGGGAGAAGTATTGAGGAATTTCTCATTAGCCTCTTGGAGGCATACTCATTGTTATTAACCTCACTGGCATTATTCACATCCTGAACATTTAACTCGACAACGCCATGTTGCAAACTGTCAAGGGCTTCGTCTCGCGGCTGCAATTGACGCGAAGCAAGCGCAGAAATGCCGTTTTTCTTTAGTTCATACAACCGCTCGAGTGGAACCCCCTCTTGGACCTTGCCATCCTGCTCCACCCCTTTGAGTTGCCTACTACTGCCGAAGCTGATGGCGTGGTAGTTCTTCTGAAAGAGGAGGTAGAACTGACAGAGAACCGTCACGGTCATCGATGAGATGATGAGGATAAAGAAGGACCGGACGATCTCCGTCATACGCATGGTCGTAACCCTGGTCGAAGTTCTCAACACTTTATAGCGACTTGGGCTGCTTCATGTGATGGAGTCATGTTGAGGGCGTGGAAGCAGAGGGTGGGGTACGTCTTCTCATCTATTCAATGTCAGACCTGAGAGCCTGTGGAGAGAATTAAGAGTGGAAAGTAATCCCAAAATAAAGTTGTCATGGTAGGCCTATCATGTAGTATAATTTGTTGTTATCTGAGTTAAGTTTATTAGCATTGAATTTATGATGCACCTTCCATTGAACCTGTCAAAAAATGTGGAACGTATATAAACATTAATGCAGGCGCGTACGCAGGGGGGGGGGGGGGGGGTTAAACCCCCCCCCTTGAGTTTTTTTATGTGTATGTTTTGTGTATGTTTTTTGGAGGAAAAAAAAACCCCTCTTGATTGTTTTGTTTTGTTTTTGTTTTTTTAATGAAAAAATAATAATAATAATAATTTTAAAAAAAACCTTACCCCCTCCCCCCAACGGAACAAAATGTCAAATTTTCAAATTTCGAGACCAAAAAAAAAAAGAGTCCTCTTACCTATTATTCTTATCCGATCCTACAAGAACCAATGAACAGTGGTTACTGGGGCACAGCAACTCGCCGAAGGGGAATTAAATAAAATTGACCCTCAGAGAAAAGGCATAAAAATAGGTGTAATAGATCATTGGAGAATGCCTGTTAAGATTCATTGAGCACTTAAGGAACATTACGTCGGCTTCTGCCTGTATTTCATAACTATATTATAGGAGAGAAAATTTCAGTTTGTAAATGAAACAAATTACCGATGAGATAGTTTCAGTGAATTAGTAGTAACAGTTTTCTTTGCAAACAATGTTCAAGTTCGTGGTAAATGAAAGGAGTTACATTGGCTTGTGAGGTATATAGGGCCTATGGGTGGATAGCATTATTTTTAACAAAAAGTAAAGAAAAAGCGGACACATTTTTTTTTTTTGTGGTCCTCGAAAATTTTAAAATTTGCACCCCCCCTTGAGCGCCAGGGGGGGGGGGCCCATTCCCCCAAAAAGGTAAAAATCGCGTGATTTTACATGATTTTTTTTTCTCAAGGGGGGGGGGCCGGGCCCCCCCCCCCCCCCCCCCCCCCCCCCCCCCCCTGGATCCGCCACTGGTACTTTCCATGACAAGTCACTGTCATGTAGATACCATGAAACTTATTAGATTCAACATGACTTCCCTGGTAAGGATTTGATAGAACTAATGAACAACACAAGGGGTCCGTTGCATAAAACTTACCATTGATGGTAACTTTGCCATTAATGGCAACTACCATGGTAACAGGGCTCAACAGCCAATCAAAATCAAGGTTTTCCATGGTAGTTACCGCTGATGCCAAAGTTACCATCAATGGTAAGTTTTGTGCAACGGGGCCAAGGTCTTTATAATATTCAAAGATGATTTGTTTGTACTTTCCCAAGCTTGGACCAGTTTCAGTTCGTCGACCACAATTTCTCATTTCCAGATATGGGTAGTTTCTTATATTTTCGACAATGAACACATATCGACTGTGAGAACTTAGATACCAAATAAATTCCAAACTATTGGGAGTTTTGTATGAATTTATTCCACCGTAAAAAATCGGGTCATTTTCGATGTTGACTTTCTAAATAATAATTATTGTCAAAGAGCAGCCGTACAAGTCGTGGTTAGGGCAAGTTAATTCTTCTGTTTGATTTGAGTACACAGTAATTGCACTTTGTATACAAATAAAAATACAAGTTCAATCTGGGTAGGAGAGATTCTGATTAAATGATATCTTGACGCAATGGGGTTTGTGAGAGGGTTACTGAATAGTTGATCATCTGCTAGCAAAGCGTGATCGTCACAGGGAACGTCGAGGTCGTGACATCCAGTAACGTCCTGGTCATCATCCTTTTCGTAGCTCAATTTGATTGGAAGTTCCTTATTGGACGAGGAGCAAGCGATAATTGGTGAGGATTAGGTAAGTAAGTGGTTCATTTTGTCTGCTTGTTTCATGAATCACCTTTGAGTGATTCTGTGATTACAGTAGTTTAGTTTTCGAATGAAAGTTCAAATACATATCGACATAAAATATACCCAATTGTATAGAATTGAAATATGTTGGTTAGCTCCGCTGATGATTTTGTTTTTACCGACTTCTCTAAAAGCAAGTATTTCCGTGTAGGTAATAAGAAACCAGAAGGACCTACGGTTTTACATCATGTCCAAGGGACTTATATCAAAGGGTAGGCCTACTTAAGTGCATCAACATGGTATAAAACCTGGGACCTTCCGGTTAAGAGACTGCAACTCTCCCACTGACCGAATATATCGGCGTAGCCTGGAACTTCTTTCAGCTGAAATACAACACCACCCCTCCTGCTCCTTCGACCCCCACTTCCCAAACTCTTCCTACTCACTCCTCCTTCTACTCCTCCTCCTCCTCCTCCTCCTCGTCCCTCCCTCCTAACCTACCCTTTCTCCGGCCATGCTTCTCATCATCTACCACCCAATCTCATGAGTTGCTCTGTTTTTATTATTTAGTTTAAAATATTACCTTTGTTTCTTTCTATTTGTCTGTTTCTTTTGTGTGTGTCTTCTTTGGGTGTAATATGGGTTCTGTTTTCTTTTTATTCTGACTTGTACATTTTCAAACTAAGGTGAAAAATAATGCTCTTGGTTCAGTTGTGTATGTGTGTGTGTGTGTATTACAGACCATAGTCAGATTTTGATTATCTTGTCAAGATTAAAAATGTAAGCCTATACTAATTATCAGAATCCACAAAGTATGCTCCTCTGCCAAATATGTTGGTATTTTATTTTTACCCCAATTTATGGAATGATTTTGACAATGATTTGATTCCTAATAGATCGAGATAATAGTATACATTCTCAGATTTTATTGAATAATAATTTGCGAGTGTTTGTTTTACGTAACTGCTAAAGCATATGTGTGCTACTATGCTAATCAACTAGGGGACCTACGTCATTAAGTCATAACTGACAGTAATGAGGATTAATGCCTCACAAAAGGACACTAATATAACACATCGACACGGTTTTGATCGTTGGGGCTCACAGTTACGAGGCCGTACGCGGTCGCCCCCACAAATACAAAAAAAAAAAAACGAAAATGCAATAAATTATCAATCATTCATTGCATTTTGCCCCGATCCCCAACAGAAAAAATCCTATGTGTGGTCATGCCTTGAACCATAATGCATGGTCCTAACTACAATACAATAATCAACAGGCAAATGTTTATAAAAAGCAAATAAATATAGTTTTCCATAAATAATTAAATACGGGAGAAAGGATTCCTTTTTATATTTTGATCAAAGTTTCACTAAAAATCGTGAAAAAGAAATTCACATATTCCAATGATGATTGCATCAAAAAAAGCATAGGTCTACGAACACAATATTTAGTATGTCGTCCAAAAGGTATATTCTATTTCATATTTTTTTTTAAATGGATATCAGAGACTTATAGAATACACACTGTAACATTCATTGTCCAGACATGTGGATCTCGTGACTATGGAATTTAGCAAGTCGGATTTAAAGAAACCAATAATCTGATAAGCCAGCATCAAGACGTCTTTGAAATAAAATTGTCTGCTTTTAATGATTATCACAAGAGGAATGCTTTTCATTATTTAGATAAGATACGTGACAAATAAGTGACATAAAATCAGATGCTTGTTTATTATGTTGACCAAAGGTTTAACATAAACATCGCTGGAAACACGTATGAAAGGAAAAGATGAATCAAAATATGAAAAACGTACGTACCTTCTCAAATAGTTATGTCGATCCTCCAACTTGAAAACGCAAAAGAAATCATTTCTTGATGGAATAAACTATGAACATAATACCGTTATACTAGCTTCCTCATAACAAGCATTGTGTAATAGGCAAGTATGTATATGTACGGGCCAAGCATACATGGCACGGCGATGATGGAGGGGGAAATCGATATCAGTCGTTGTTCGATTTCTTCATTGTGTTTAGAATTTTAGGGGAGGTGGTCGATTCATTGATATAGTTCGTCCGCCCATCAGTTTACCAGGCCCTATAAGGTAACAAAGCGTGGCATATTATCTGGTGTATAGGCATGGACGGGTTGGGGGAAGGGGAAGGGGGTGAGCTTAGGAAAGCAGCCACCCTTTTAAAATTACCGATGTTCTGTCATCCGCCACCTTATATTTGGGTAACGAGTTATGCTATATTGGTCTCTTGTACATCTGCAATTATGCAGTTCTTTTACCTATTCACAGAAATTATACAGTTTTTTTTCAACTTCCCCGTCCCTCTCTTTTCCACATCTTGTGCTTTCTCTCTTCAGTCATCGGATTCAGGCTTGCCAGCGCACAACGTAATATGCACATTCTCTACTCCCTGAGGAGCATTCCCGTCAGGCGCCTTTTTACAGACGCCACGCTCACAATACTAACCGACACCTCAATGACTCTCGCATCCTACCCGGAACCACTTTAAACCGTGGGTGGAGAGAAGTACATTTTAATTTACAAAATGTCGCTTTTTTAATCTTGCCTCGGAATGCACACATCTTTTCTATCAGAATCATGTCCCTATTAACATAATGGTCCAAAAATGGCATATTTTGTGTCATTCTGAAGAAGAAAAAAGTTTTTTGTGATTTATTTGAGGGACTATACGCAATCTCGATTTTCTTTTTTTTTTATCGTTAGCTTGACATGATGAAAGGGCATCCACACACAAAAAACAAGAACTCCCTGTTTCGAGTAAAAACCTTAACAAACTCATATAGTCGGGTGAATTGCAGTCGAAAGTATGTATTTTTACACCTAAACTGGAGTACATGACCAAGCATCATATTTGTTACCGCCTTTGGTGAGTTTCATTTTACTCGATGTTATATAAACAAAATCAATTGAACGAGTATTCTCAACTGGTGTAGAAAAAAGTGAGTAAACATGCTCATGTTCTCGATGAAAATCATGTTAAATGAGTAAATCTACTGCCTAGTCAGTAAACCAAGTCATTAACGCATCACTGAGTTTTCATTAAACTGTGGGATATTTACTCATTGACTCGTTCTTCGAAAACTTCCAATACTATGTTACTTGTCAAGTGAGTGATCTCACTCATTTCATGTGTATAGGATCTAGAGTCGGAGAAAATCATCCACGAATCTGAGTACGACGGCCACATGCGCGAGCTCGCACATGCTGGGGCCAAGCAATGCAATGCACATGGGTGTCGATCCGTAACTGATACCTATTCATCAGGGGGGGGGGGGATGATCTATTCATTCATCCCCCCTGATGAATAGGTATTACGTAAGGATCGACACACATGGCAATGCATATGCATGCAATAATATACTACAGCATGCAATGCCGAAGAATAGACTCCATAGAATCTTTGGCTGACGTGCATGGGAAGAGCGAAGGCGTAAGTAAGAGTTTGTTTCGTTTTTATTTGAATACCCGTGAGTTTGTTTGATGTTTGCGTTTTTAGGGGGAAAAAAGACGTAGACTCTACTTCTAATTGTTAGGTGAGCACTTATTCTAACATTACTAACATTTCTAACATTTCTAACATTACATTAAATTACTCGTGAATGAGTTAAAGAGAAGGTTGAGTTCTGGGAAGAGGTGAAAAGTAATTTGTGAATATTACTCATTCTTATTATGCAAGTATGGAAGAACATCAGTTAAGACATCTTCCCTGAAAAGCATGGCTCTTCAAATGCCTTCATATTCTAATTTGCATGTAACATCGTAAAAATCGGGGGGCCGACTTTTTACGCCACGTGTTTGTGTAGTCCCATATACATCTTTCTGTGCAAGTGTTTGTAATTTTACCAAGACTTGGCCAAATTTCTTATCATTTTGATGATTCCAGAACCTTGCAATACACACAAATTCTTATGTGCTAGATGATCAACCTCTTCTGGTCGGTTCCACACCGTTTCTTTCACAATGCAATCGCATGACCAGAACTCAACTTCATCTTTAAATGATTAACTCACAGGTGCATGCCCATCATCATTAATCACCAAACCAAATTATTTTATTGACTCGTAATGGTGTGTAAACAAGATTCACAATCATGAGTATGTTGAAGAATACTCATGAAGAATACTCACTTGTGTGTCATTATAGTGTCAATTGTAAAAACTCACTTATCTGCATTACAACAGGAACTAACATGGTGAGTACCAAGAGAAAAAACTAAATTGGATGAGTAAATTTTACTCATTTAGTGTGTCATTATAGTGTCAGTAAATTAACACTTGTTTATGAGTAAACTTACACAATTTTTTTTTGTGTGCATCCTTGCCTTATCACACCACTGGTTCTCGATTTCCGGACATTTTAGCCTAGTGCAGGGGTTCTCAAACTTTTTCATTTTGAGTTTTTGACGGTCGAGATTTGATTTCTATAAAAGCTGTAAGGTCCGAAACATGGGATGCTATTCGCCTGAAAGTTCTTACGGTCGATCGTATATACTTCAAGTCAGGAACAATGTACAATATGATTGCTGGAAAGCCGGGCACCACTCAAACATTACTCAATCTTGTTCCCAAATTAGACAATCTATTCCTAAATATTACAGTAATGACATTTGTATACTGAAGATAATGAGGCTCATTTTGGGTCTTACTGATCCAAGGAGAATTGTAACAGTTTTAAAAATAGAGCCGCCGGTGCTTCCACTCGTTTAAATAGAGTTTCGTGAAACAGAACACCCATTTTCCTGGAATTTGATATAACTTTCTTAAAACTATCAAAAAGCCATTTATGTGGATTTATTTTTATTTTGATGGATTGTTATGGGGAGACCAACGTCATACGACTTGTCGTACAGTACCAGATTACGAACTTTAAATGTTGCGAGCGAGCAACAATATTTATACTTATTTAGAGGAAATGGGGTATAAAACTATATCACAGCGGCGGAATCAAAAGTCTGTATTTTCCTTTAAAAAAGGCAATTGGAGACTCTGTCCCTGGCGGTCCTGATCTTGTGGATACCTTTCACAAATTTACAGCCAGTCAAAATCAGGAACCCCCCCTCCATCCCACCCCACGGTGCGTGCTGCTATAATGACTTGGAATTTCTGAATGGAGACCTCGCCTACACCGCCAAATGAGAGCGGAATTTTATTGTTGGGGTACGTAGTCTAGCTCTCCTGGCATCACACTTAAAAGATAAAAAGAAAATATTGAATCCAAAGTTTAATAGCTCTTCTCCTTTTATGTATATAAGTAGTCAGATACTGGAACTCTCCTTATCACTTCAAATTTGTACATATTTACATTAATATCTTTTTGAGGGCATGTACCTTGTACCTTGTACCTTGTGTTCGTCTCTTCCAAAAGGTCCGCTAGGAGCTATAACTTGAAGTATAACTTGAAGTATAACTTGGCGTGACGAGAGTATAGATTTGTGTATTTCAGGGGTTATGCTATTTGGTTGAGTTTTTGGGTTGCAGATTTGAAGACTGTGCTGGATTTGATGTCCACGTTTTGTTGAGGTATATACAGGTCATTCCATAGTTTTACAACTTCAGGGAAGACGGATGTGTAGCTAGTCTAGGGCTTAGATAGTATAGAGACCCGCAATACGTCTGACACGGCTTTGTATCTACATGTAAACTAGTTTATTGGCGGAGGATATTAGATACTAGAAAGGAGTCGGAGGAGGAGAAGGAGGATGGGGCTCATGACTGGAAGATAGGGAACTAGGGTTAGCTAGGGTAAGGCGGGGTAAGAGTTTATAACGAACGAGGGGGTGAATGTTACAGTTTTAAAGAAAACTTGAAAGTAGAAATTGAGAGAGAGAGAGAGAGAGAGGGAGAAAAAGAGAGGCAAAATAATGAGGGGATGAATGTTATAGTTTAAAAGTAAAATTGAATGGAGAGTGAGAGAGAGGGGGAAGAGAAGACAAACTGGGAAAGAGAAAACAGAAAGAAAGAGAAATAGAGAGAGAGAGAGAAATAGAGAGATTGAAAGAGAAAAAGACACACTCACACAGAGGAAAAGAGAGAGATAGAGAGAGATAGAGAGAGAAAGGGAGAATGAGACGAGACGAGACAGACGAGATATTGATAGAAAGAGGCAGAGAGGTGGGGGGGGGGGGGGGTATAATGAGAAAAAAAGGGGGAACAACTAATTAACTAACAAAAAAGCCTTATGGCATAAAACTAAGGAATATACACGCTTCAATCATTATCCGAAGTCATATTTCACCCAAGATAGCTAGGTAACAGTAGACAGGATGTAGAAGGGAGGATGCAAAATGTGTAATGGGGGAGGAGGCGGCATTATGTGTCCCATGCCCCCCACGACCCTCGGTGCCGCCTCTACATAACAACAAGGAGTGAAATTACCTCATCATCTATCTTCCCCTTTAGCATCTCGACTACAGCGCCTAAGGTCACTTTGTAGCAAACAGCATGCAGTCGAGCCCGCATCCTTCCCATTCCATACGGGCAAGCATTCGTATAGCTAGAGAGAAAGAGAGAGAGAAGCAGTGAGCAACAGGGAGGGCAACGGAGGAGGAGTTGTGTGTGTTAACTTATAGAAGGGCACTTGTACTGTAGACAGCATGGCTAGGAGACGGTAGTGCTATCAAGTAGCTTAGAGATCGGAGATTGAGAACCTTTCATTTTTTCTTCTATTCTACGATCTTGTACATGTCGGAATCACAGGTAAGAAGATGTTGATTTTGTTTTCCGTATATTACTTTTGTTTCTCCTGTTATTTTCTCTTTTATGATGCTCATGGTAGCACAATAACAGATACATTGGTGTTTTTCGTTTTGTGGGGATTTGTTTGTATTTTTGTATGGCATTTTTTATTTATTCAGGACATTGGCAAGTAACCAGAAAGCCCTTAATAAAGAGAAGAGAGAATTTAAATAAGGAAAAGGAAGAAAAAGGCGGTTACACAAACTGGGAAGTTGAAAGCAACGCTCAATACAGGATTCTGATTGGTTGAAAAACTGCGTTTACTGTTTTGAGCTATGTCTGTTTAAATTCCCACAACAATGATAATGTTAAGTGATGTTTACAGAAAGTATACGATTCTGTTTCGGTGAACTATTACAGCCTCATGGAAAGCACTTAGTATACTGTAGGCCTAACATTACATTGTCTACTCCGACTTATCAACCGTTCCTCCTTGCGAGGCAATAGTGGCTCATTTATCTTATGGTACGAAAACTTTCACAGATAGCCTCCCATATTCTCATTATAATCCATCTTAATTCATCTTAAAACTCGGCCAAATTCTTTCCAACTACTAAGAACAAATGAACAGCCCAAAACCCGGTTGGCGCCACGTAATGAGCTATGCCATGTGTTCGGATATCAGGTCCCGATGTGAACATTAGGAGTCGTTTGACCTCTTGACCTATGTGAGGTTATATACACACTCGTGCACGTGTGGAAATACCTCAGCGCTATCACGCGTGCTGGGGATACGCCGAAACGAAAGCGGTGGACCGTGCAGTCGGTATGACTGGTCATTGGGGAAACTCTGCCAGAGTGTCCTATCGTATTGTAGTGTTGGATCGGATACAGGTCTAGCTACACAGAAAGGATGAAATGGGGCTAGTAAAATTTGACAGCCGCTGATAGGGGCTGCGATCTGTGGGGGGGGGGGGGGGGGGGGACGGGGGGACACGTCCCCCCCCCCCCCATTTTTTAATTGTTTTTGTTTTGTTTAGGGGGGGCGGAAAATTTGAAAAAGTGCAAAAATAAAATGCATAGCAAATACTGACTAAAGACTGCAACACAACTCTGGAGGGCTACGCGCCCTTGCATATCCTTCACAATGTACAAGTAAATATTGCAATTCGTCCCCCCTCGGTTATGAAAAGAAATCGCCGCCCTGCTGGCCGCTAATGTCCGCCGGATGTCCGCAAAGGTGACCTACAGATAGCAAAACAGCAACTAATATAGGGGGGGGGCATAATTTCCAATAAGGATCTATCTTTTGTATGTAGCTCGATAACAAGTGACACAAATTTAGCTTGTGTGGAAGGTCTAGGATTACATCTCTCTGGTAAGTCATAGTACATGTATCTACTAAGGGCGCGTTCATGCTTGATTTTGAAGGCAGAATGAGCGATTTGTAACGCTCATCGTAAACGCTCATCGTAATCGCAGTTCCACGGTGCACTGTTCATGCTCACTTCTCCAGGCAATTCTCCTTGGGTGGCCTTCAGCTGGATTCGCAAACCTGTGTGCGCATGCTACGTAGACCCATTAGAGGTCAGTGCGTTGACCCCATTTAAACGCGTTTACAAATGTAAACGCATCTTTTTGTGAGTTTCCGATCGGCGATCGTGATCGCCGTTTTTCGGTGATTCTACAAAAGTGAGCATGAACGCAATCGTGTTTTAATCTAAACGCGTAACAGATGCCTGATTCTGGCCGTCAAAATCAAGCATGAACGCGCCCTTAGATATGCCTATGCTCGGTTCATGTATATACGTCATACATATCAGTTACATAGCACATGATAAAATACAAATATATACTTCCATGAGAGGCTCTGGTTAGAACTATATGGTCCCAAGGTGACTGCAATAATGCTATTGCAGTCCCAGAGGTCGAGGGACCATATATCGTTTTAAATCCAGAGACTCGAATAAAGCTTAAAGGCAGTATGTATTCGTTTTACATACCTCATTCATTCATTATATTCACTGTTCATAGATTGATTAAAAAAATTTGCTGTAAGAATTTTCACCGGTATCAATTTTGTTGTTGTTTTTATTTTCGTTGATGGGAAATGCCCGAAATGACCTCTGCACCATCGGGTCGACATATCGCAAGCCTTAAATTGTGCAGCGATCATTCATATAGGATGTCAACAGAATTTCGTATTCTCATACTCAACGTCGAAGTTCGATTTACTTTTATACTTTACGTACTGCGACATGAGTAATGTGTTTTTGCTAGCCGTAAATGGTACTTTTTGCCAAATTGTGTGTTTATTTTTTGATCATGTGACACACTTTTAACCAATCAATGAACAAGAATATATGAATTACGATATACTACATTTATAACGCTCTACGAAGAGAGGAGAACGGGCGAGGGTTTGAAAATATTCAGTCATGTCTAACACATCATGGCCCATCGTTGCTTCATGTAAATATGTCTATATGCTTGATCAGGCGCGTACGCAAGGGGGTGTTTGGGGGTTAACCCCCCCCCCCTTTGGTATTTTATGTGTATAAACCCCCCTAAAAAAAACTAACCCCCCCCCCCTTTGGTTTTTTTTTATATTTTTTTTATAATTAAAAATATATATATATATATTCCCATGGCTGACCTAAAAAAGGTGACCTTACCTCCCCCCCCCCCGCTTATTCAGCGGCTGGCTGTGTCGATGCGAAATTTTCGGCCCGATTTAAAAATGTTAACCCCCCCCCCCCCCCCCCTTGAAAAAATCCTGCGTACGCGCCTGTGCTTGATGCACGATGTATATTTTCGTCTAAAAAAAAAATTAATCGCGATATTGACCTCGAAGGATATTTTCTGTATTTTGTCATACAGTCCGTCCCTGCTTGAGTTTACAGGTACGCAATTAAATGGAAAATCAGACGATTTCGTTCGGACATGGAAATATTTCGCTGAGACTAAGTTTTGCTCCACCGAACCCCTCAAGCCTCAAAAGTGTTAAGAAGCCAGTGTACAATCGCGAATAAAAGTCACTTGAGGTCACATTATTGATGTCAATTCGTCGCGAAAGCAAGTCCTGAAAAATTAATCTTAAATAGGTTGATAAACTTGGTTCGCTGCTGCTCAGATATACTGCAGGCTTTCTTAAATTGTCTTAAACAATATAGTTTTTTATATACTTTCCGGGCCTTTTCGAAATTTCATAAAAAGTTCTCTAACTCAATGAGTTTCTTTTGTAGAATACCTGCCAGTACCCAATATCTTTAGTTGGAGAGAGTAATGAAATTTCACCCATCAAATTTCACCCCATCTATTACAGACTTCGGCGGTCATGGCTCTCCATTTCTGTTTATTATCTGTTATTCTTGAAAAACTGGTATTGCTGATTTTATTATCATTGACAATTTGTTTAGGCTTTACAAAATAATATGTGAGGCGTCGCCTTGCCCTGCTTCTCTTTCCAGCAATCTTCCCTGTTAATATTGTTTGTTTTTCAAAGATTATTCTTTCTGTATAATATTATTATGTGGCCCACATATTGCATTTGCCTCTTCTTATCGTGTTCCTCAGCACTATACATCCTGACTTATGGATCGTGATGAGTATCGTCGTAGAAGTAGAAGTGATGATTTTACTCTTGCTTTACTGAACAATTCTCCATTTCTTATCATTTCTGTCCATTATAATTATAATCATGTTTTTTTTCTTCAAGAACCAGGGGGTGTTTCACAAAGATCCTAAGTCGAACTGAACGGTATGTTGGACTTATAAATTATGGAAAGCCATTAATAGCTTTAAAAATCAAATATTCAAAAGGAAAAATTCAAGTATTTTAGACATTTCATAACTTCCATATCAAGAACATGAAAATTCATTGATAATAGAAAATATGAATGATTTGAATCAACATTTTATGCCTTTTAAAATAACTTTTACACATTTTTTCAAAGATGCTATTGGAAAGCCATTATAATAATGGCTTTCCATAATTGTTCAGTCCAACTCAGAGCAAGGCCTAAGTTCAACTTGGGATCTTTGTGAAACACCCCCAGATCTTTGTAGCCTCTAATCTTCTTTCAAGCTCTTTCTTTATTGTCCAACACTCACGCTCGTTGAGAAGAACTGATATACGACTGAGACACGGATTTTGGTTTTCATACTAATGTTCTTGTATTGCATCACGGATTTCTGCATAAAGTAAGGCCATCGTATGAACATGGCTATTGATATACTGCAGAGATGTCCACATGGTAACGGTGATGATAAATCGCAAATAATTAAATGGTAAGCCAGACCACCGAGTGAACATGGCTATTGGATAGATGCAAGGTTAATGGTGTCTACACGGTGACTTCCAAGTTATAACGGACGTTCTAAATCATCATGAACACGGCTATTGAGATTCTGCAATGGAAATGAACATGTTGGCAGTACCAGTGTCTTGCGAGTAATTAGACCTACATGATTGCAAACAGGTCAAATTAAACCATCGTGTGAACACGTCCACTGAGATGCTGTAAGGATAGACACACGATGACGCATAACTGAGATGCCATCACTATCGGGGACTCCCACATGGAGAATGATTTAACGAGAGTACAAGGAGGAGAGGATGGTGTAACTAGAGAAGGGGCAGAAGGTGGGATGGGGCGATGCTGAAGCGGGGATACCCGCCGTCTCGGGCCGGAGGTGTTAATTGCCAGCGTGTATGTTTTTTGTTATTGGGGGGGGGGGGGGGGGGGGGGAGGGAGGAGAGGGGGTGATGTCGGGTTTTAACTAAGCTACTATAAATCAATGAACTGTTAGTGAGATTATTCCTTCCTACACCAGTGTACATATTCCTTTATCCCAGAGAGGAGGGTAACTAGAGAAGGGGTAAAGGGCGGGATGGGGGCGATCGATGCTGAGGAGGGGATACCCACTGTTCATAAAACCAAGGAGGTAGGATTATAATAATATAACATGTCGTCTCATTGCAAAGGTGCTACTTGCTTAGGCCTAAGCGAGGTGACGGT